AGGTCCCCAGATAGCTGGGATCTGAGCGCCCCAAAGTACTGAATAGTGCTCTGATGCTATGCACACAGTCCAATCGCCGTGGAGCCCAAGTGTTCACAAAGTCAGTTTTCATACGAATGAGCTCCACGGGATTCCTATCTGGGGTATGGTGTATTCGGGTACAACTACCGAATATAGGGCCGTTCGTGCACGTCTACCGAACAAGAAGGGAGGTCAGCGGCTTCAGCGGTGTTCGCGCCAAAATGTATCCGTTTTCAGTTCCATGAGTTGGGCGTCGAACACCGCTGTGCGTTTGCATGTTTAAAATACACCTTGTGTTCGGTATATGAATGGCGGCCACTCAGCATTCGTCAATTGACCTGCGGTTAATCTGGGAGGTTAATTGATGGCACACTCCAGCTCCCACGTGGTCCAGTCATTCGTGCGTTAGTTCGGTAGATTGAATTGGCAGGGGAAAAGAAGGCTTTTAACATGGGGCCATAGTCCAAAGGCAACAGGCGAGCAACCAGGCTTTTCCAATGCAATGTGGCGAGATTGGTCTCGTCACATTCAGCACTAGCAGGTCAGCTCTCGTATTGGTTATGTTGTATGTAGAATACTACATCATCTATGGCATGGATGTATACCATAACTATCACATGGGGATTATATCCTCTGGGGACACAATGTGGGTCTCAGCTTTCGTCTGCCTGCAAGGTGTAAGTTGTAACGGATCACCTTGCACCCCGACTTGGTACATCCGTTGAAGGATGCTCCTAGCGCTTACAGAGGGCTCCAAGCGCTCCGCATACACCACAACCACCATAGACCCCACGAACCGCCGCAGCTTGGTTGGGGTCTCGCCGTCTCCTACCCACCCTGGACCTACGACAAGGCTCCAAGTTCCAGTGGGTGAACCTCTCCTCCAAGAGAGTGAAGCAGGAGCAAGCTCTTAAAAGAGCTTAGAAGTGATTATCCAAGTGAGCATGCAGAGCATAGCAATCCCTTGTAGTGATATAGCAATTCCCCCAATAAGAGACAGGACTCTAGATTGAGGGTGAAGAACTCTGCAAGAGAGACGCCCACAGATAATTATACAATACCCAATCACACAATGGTTACATCCCACACATCTCCTCCCCTTAGCCTGAGAGGTAACCCAATTATCCGTACATTTTAAAAACTTTTTTTTCCCAACTTTCATAACTCTAAAACCATACATACAATATTAATAAAGTCACATCAGCACATTCCAAATACAAACATACCCAAAAATCATTCGAATCCGTTCAGCAGTTTGGGAGATACATATAAGTTACTTTTGACCGACCGGTCGGTCTATTTTACAACGAGCATTCTAATCTTCGAACGGGACTTAGTCTCCAGCCGCAGTGTCGAAGTAGAGTAGAACGTATGGGTCAGCGGTGTTCGTGCAATTCAGTAGCCGAAAACAGTTCCATAGATTTGGCTGCACACACCGCTGACCGTGTTCGAATGAGTTAAAATGGCCGCCGCCACGTGTTCGGTATTCGAATGGTGGCCACTTTGGCGACTTCGACAACCTCGACTGTTACTGTGCTTCGACACTACGACTGCATCCGAAGTGCCAGTTTAAAAGTACAAATCCTTTCTTTGGGCATTAAAGGGCCAGGAACAATAATATAAGCCTCAGGTATGCCCACATCAGTTCCTAGAAGGGCAAAACATCCCTCAGGTATGCCCACATCAGTTCCTGCAGGGCAGGAGGCTGGCCAACAGGCCCCTCCAAAAACCAGTGGCGAGGTTACTTTCGCCACATAAGTATACACTAGGGCAGGGGTAGGCAACCTTTTAGCAGCACTGTGCCGATATAGGATTGTGATGTCCCGTAGTGTACCGGTCCTATTTTTTTGTTTTAAATTGAGATGTTGTCGTATTCTGCTTGTGTTATTTTTACTGTAGTTGCTTTTTTTCATTGTATTTGTGCGTATATGAGCTATTATATTGTAGGGATCGACCGATTATCGGTCTGGCCGATATTATCGGCCGATATTTGGTATTTTCGGCAATATCGGTATCGGCCAATTCAGATACCGATATTGCCGATAATATATAACAGGACCGCCGGGCCCATTACAAGCCCGGCGGTCCTGTGGGGGCCAGCAGCAAGCGCTGACTTACCTTGCAAGCAGCTCCTACAGCTCCTGTGTAAATCTCGCGAGACCCGCGGCCGCAGAGCGTTGCCACGGGTTACCATGGCAACGCTCCGCGCGGCACTAAGAGCCGCGAGATTTACACAGGGAGCTGTAGGAGCTGCTTGCAAGGTAAGTCAGCGCTTGCTGCTGCTGAGCCACCACTGTACTTAACAAGCCACTGGACCACCAGGGGATACTATATCCCCCTCCCTGGTAAGAAGCAGGGAGGGGGGACTAAACAAAAAATAAAAAAAACATTTCAATATTAAAAAAAATATTAAAATAAAAAATTACACAAATTACATCACTACACACACACACACTACACAAACACACACTGCACACATACTGCATTACATACACACACACTGCATTACATACACACTACACAGGCACACACACTGCATTACATACACACACTACACAGACAGACACTACACACACACCACAAACACACACTGCACACATACTGCATTACACTGCACACACACTGCATTACATACACACACTGCATTACATACACACTACACAAACAGTACACATACTGCATTACATACACACACACTACACAGGCACACACACTGCATTACATACACACTACACAAACACACTACACAAACACACACTGCACACATACTGCATTACAGACACACACTGCACACACTACACTGCACACACACTGCATTACATACACACTACACAAACACAGTACACATACTGCATTACATACACACTACACAGACACACACACTGCATTACATACACACTACACAAACACACACTGCATTACATACATACACACTACACACACACACACACTGCATTACATACACACACAAAAACACACTGCATTATACACACACACTACATAAACACACTGCATTATATACACACTACACACACTGCATTATATACACACACTCTGCATCCACTACACAAACACATACAGTTCCCCTGTCTAAACACACTTCATCCACTACATGTGGCATGTATATTTTGTGCATTTACCTTTCGAATTAGTTTATTTATTCAAAATAGTAAATGTACAGAATATCGGCAAGATATCGGCTATCGGCCTGAAAGTTCGCAGATTATCGGTATCGGTATTGGCTCTAAAAAATCAATATCGGTCGATCCCTATTATATTGTATATGTTCAGGAGTAGTTTGTGGTATCGTGTATGATACATATGAATGTGGGCTGTGTGTGGGGGCTGCTTGTGGAATTGTCAGTGTGAATGGATATGTCGTATTGTGTGTTTGGTAGTGTGTGTATGTGTGGGGGGCTGTTTGGGGTATTTCATGTGAGAGGCTGCATGTGGGGTTGTGTGCATGTATGTGGATTGTTAGTGGTGTTCAGTTTGTGCAGATTGTGTGTATGTCTGTGTGCGGGCTGTCCGTATTATTTGTATGAGGGGAGGGTCTTTCTGCATTTCTGTGTATATCTAGCAGTGTGGGTGGCTTCCCTGGGTTCCAGTGGGGGCCAGGCCGGCCAAGTACAGGTCAAGGAAAGGAGAAGGAACAGCAACTGCAGGCTGCTCTACTGCAGTATGGATTCCCATTCACAAGTGCTGGAATGAAGTGATCTGAATTAGTTATCTGAGATCACTTCCTCTACATGCTACAATGCATAAATTGAGGATTGTCCCACACCTACATTTGTTGGCAATGCCCAATAATTCATAAATTTTGGAGGAGGATCCACACTATCGTACAACTAATATTCCATAAGACTTTCCCTTGTATCCCGGAATATTATATCTTTTTCTTACCACCCCATAAACTCACGACGCTAGAGACGGACCTGTTTCGCCACTTAGTCATGGCGGCTTCCCAACTAATCCCTAAACATTGGAAACAACCCATACAACCTTCAATTCGTGAATGGATACTGAGAGTTGACGATATTAAATTGATGGAAGAAATCACCTTAGCTAAAGTAGGAAAACATGTTAAATTCTTGTCCATATGGGACCCATGGATTAATCACATGCACTGCAACCCTCTCCTACCACAGTAGACTGATCTAACACATACCTTTATCCTCATCGAAAATACAAGCTCTATTCATATACTTCTGCCTCTTCCACCACTCTACCACTGCAGCTTTCTCTTCCGCTCCTTCCTCCCCTGTTGAGGTTGGTGGGAGTTGAAAGTAACCGATTGACAAGACACGACCAACCGTCACTCAATCTTGCTTCCCTGAGGGGACAGCAAGGTACCACCCCCTACTTTTATACACCCGGCTTTTTCCATATATTCAATAGTCCCCCGCCGAGCCTTGGTTTTCCAACCCACCGAGGGGAATTATCCCTTTAGATACACATGAAGCGTACCAGTGTAGACCAGGACTCAGGGTATTGAACTAATGTAATGTTTCCTTTCAATTATCTATTGCTATAGTATTTTTGCTTGTTATGTTATCCTTTCTCAGATGTCTCATCTACCACTATTTTTTGGAGATGACTCTACTACAAAATGTACCTTCCATTATGTGATATTTTAGTACTGTTTAAAATAGTGAAATACCGAAACTGTAATCTCAATGTAATCTCGCTGTACCAAAGCTTATGTTTACCTATGTCAAACGTACAAAACAATAAAAAGATAAATATAAAAAAAATAAAAAATAAAAAAATTTGAGGATTGTCCTTCACCACCTTTTCAAATTAGCAGATATCTGAAGTATAAGTGGGACTCCTGATAGGCCTGAGCAGCCTTGAGTGCCGTAGGTTGCCTACCCCTGCACTAGGGAGTATCTGAATTTATCTACTAAAGTGCGTGGGTGGGTCTATATATGTATTCTTCTACTACAGATATTGAATGGCTACTTTACCTGGTTATCTATAGGGTCCTATGTCAAACTCTGCTGTGATGGGTCCAGGTGAGGATGGTGCTCTCGATGAGGAGGAAATGAGTGAAGAGGAGGTGTCTCGCGACTGGACTCCCCAAGAAAAGGCACTCCATGAAGCTAAGGTGAAGGCCAGAGCCAAATACCGTGTTCGCCGGACCTCATCACGTGACTCCGAGAGCACAGAAACTATTGCTGAAACTCCCATTCCTCAAGGGAAGAGCCATGACAGAAAATCTCGCATGGGCAAGGGAAGAGGTCTTCCTAAGAAAGGTAAGAGAATTATGTAAGAAATAGGAAAAGTGGTTACTGGAGACTTGACCACATGCACTGGGTATGAAATCTACTCTTGTGCTGAGGATTTGGCCACATTCCCAGTACATAGGAGAAAGTGAGGATAAGTGTAGAAGTGCTACAACTGTACTCCTTTCTTTAGCATTTAAGGAATGCATGATGTCTGCCTTGGGTAAAATGGAAGGTTGATGGTCAGAAAAGATCTTATGGTGAGCCGCTAAGGCATTAGAGAGGCTTCTACAAGCGGCTGATCTAGAAGGGAAACATTTCAGCCAAGTGCCGGTCTACAATAGGGTAGGAAGATGAATTGCAGATCATTCCTTAGAACAGATTAGTTGCAAGATTTGTAGCACTAGGCTGTTCTAGAATGGGTAAGTTGTAGGTTTTGTGGTGCTGAGCTGCTCTAGAATGGGTTAGGTGTAGGTTTTATGGTGCTGATCCATCTTCTCAGTTAAATGGGTTAGGTGTAGGTTTTGCAGTGCTGAGCTGCTCTAGAATGGGTTAGGTGTAGGTTTTATGATATTGAGCTGCTCTAGAATGGGTAAGTTGTAGGTTTTGCAGTGCTGAGCTGCTCTAGAATGGGTTAGGTGTAGGTTTTATGGGGCTGAGCTGCTCTAGAATGGGTTAGTTGTAGGTTTTGCAGTGCTGAGCTGCCCTAGAATGGGTTAGTTGTAGGTTTTGCAGTGCTGAGCTGCTCTAGAATGGGTTAGGTGTAGATTTTATGGTGCTGAGCTGCTCTAGAATGGGTTAGTTGTAGGTTTTGCTGTGCTGAGCTGCTCTAGAATGGGTTAGGTGTAGATTTTATGGTGCTGAGCTGCTCTAGAATGGGTTAGTTGTAGGTTTTGCTGTGCTGAGCTGCTCTAGAATGGGTTAGGTGTAGGTTTTATGGGGCTGAGCTGCTCTAGAATGGGTTAGGTGTAGGTTTTATGGTGCTGAGCTGCTCTAGAATGGGTTAGGTGTAGGTTTTGCGGTGCTGAGGGAGTATTAAAAAGGGCCGCTATACAACATCCCTCTTGTTTTTTTTGTTTTTTTTTTACTTTTTCACAGGTGGTGCTGGAGGAAAGGGAGTGTGGGGGGCTCTCGGTCAGGTGTACACTTACCAAGAGCCAGACGTACAAGACCCCAATTATGATGAATCTGCCCAGGTAATAGTATTTAAGGGAAGTATTTAAGTATTTATTTTGCATGTTTTTGTCGCAGTGCATTCAATGTCTCTTTTCCCGTCTATTTGGTTATATTTGCATTTTAACCATAATTTTTTTACATACACCATTTTTCCCCCCAGCACAACAGTTTTATGAATTGTAGCGTTTTGTTTCTCTTCATGTTTTCTTCCTCCTATAAACGTTTTGCACTTCTGAAAAGGAAATTCCTGAGAAAACTGGTGAAATTTATAATAAAGAAAACTGTCACTTTTTAGATCACTTTAATAAATCCGATTAAATTAATGATGGGATTTAAACGTCAGCTTTCAGAACATTATGAGAAATACCCCCATTAGTGTTGGTACTTGCTGACCTTGTATTGTGTGAGTTATTCTCTCTATAATTATATTAACACTGTAACACTATGTATAAACATACTGTCAGCTGTCTCTCCAGCGTATGATGTAGGTACACACTCTGCCTCTTATATCTGACACACAGGGCAAAACCGTATATCACAAGGTGGTACCTGAACTCGACGAGGTCGGCCTACAGCACAACGTACAACCAATGGTTCGAGAATACTTCGAGCACGGAGACACAGAGGAGGTTATAGTAAGTAATGAGTGTATAGCGCTCTCTCAGTATATTAATACAGTGGAGGTCACTCAGACTCATTACTGGGAGTATTATTGCCGTGGAGCTCTGTTACACACAGACACATTACTGGGAGTATTATTGCTGTGGAGCTCTGTTATACACTCAGACACACACTCCTAGAAAAGAGGGACAGAGGGATTTAGACCCCAAATAGGGACTCTCCCTCTTAAACAGGGACACTTGGTAGGTATTGTAACAGCACCCCCCAGGCATAAAAGGGGCTAAAAGCCGTTTGGGAGATCTTTCCCTTCCAGAGATACAGGCACAGCTACTGCAGAACATCAAACTCCCGAACCGCATGTAAGGGAAGGCTCCAAACTCCCGAACTGGAACCTCACGAATAGCTGCCAGCAGACGAACAGGAAAAGCACCCAAGCGGCTTACACTCCTAGCAATCAGTCTCTATCAGCATTCAGTAAATCCCCCCCCAAAGACGAGACAAGGCTCCGTGTTGAGGGTCAAGCAGTGGTTTAATGAGGGCTACCTGCCCAGTATTTATGCAGGTCTCCCACCTGGTGGACACTCCCCCAGGGGACCAAATGGGAGACTGGGACACAAATAGTACAATGACCAATCACAGGCAGACATGGTTAAAACACTCCCCCAATACATTACAATACCTCCCCTCAATCCTGGAGATAATTGGGAAGTAATCCAATTATCTCCAAGGACATAGGCAAAACTCCATTACCCACATGGTTACAGTAAAATACTAAAACACAATAAAATACACAATATTACATTTATCACACAAAATATATACTTGCAACCCATCCCCAGATAGCTGGGATCGGAGCGCACAAAAGTACCGAATAGCGCTCAGATCCTATGCACACAGTCCAATCGCCGTGGAGCCCAAGTGTTCACAAAGTCAGTTTTCATACGAATGAGCTCCACGGGATTCCTATCTGGGGTATGGTGTATTCAGGTACAAACTATCGAATATAGGGCTGTTCGTGCACTTCTACCGAACAAGAAGGGAGGTCAGCGGCTTCAGCGGTGTTCGCGCCAAAATGTATCTGTTTTGAGTTCCATGAGTTGGGCGTCGAGCACCGCTGTGCGTTCGCGTGTTTAAAATGTCCGCGACCTCGTGTTTGGTATACGAATGGCGGCTACCCAGCAGTCGTCAATTAAGCTGTGGTTAACTGCAGCTTCTGGGAGGTTAATTGCCGACACACTCCAGGTCCCAGGTGGTCCAGTCATTCGTGTGTCAGTTCGGTAGCTTGAATCTACCGAACACCGGGCAGAAAGGCACGAATAAGCCTTTTCTGCAGGGGAAAAAGAAAGCTTTTAACATGGGGCCTTAATCCAAAGGCAACAGGCGAGCAACCCGGCTTCCCCAATGCAATGTGGCGAGATTGGTCTCGTCACAGGTATGATTATAGGATGCTTGTTATACATTTTATTTCACAATCTCTGTACAGCATAGAGGAAACATTTGGTGTTTAATAAATTAATAAATGTCATGTTCTTCTGCTAGGCTTTACTAAAAGAGCTGAATTTGGGAAAGCAGAGCTCTGGGGTACCCCGGGTCGCTGTGTCCCTGGCATTGGAAGGAAAGGCCAGTCATCGAGAGCTGACATCCCGTCTCCTTTCAGATCTGGTGGGGAAGGTGCTTTCTGAAGAGCATATTGCTGAAGCCTTCGATAGAATGCTGTCTGAGCTTCCAGATCTTATATTGGACACACCTGAGGCCCCACAGGTATGATTCTCACCTTCTATAAACCTGACCTTTCACAGACATGAGTGTCCCTCCCACTGCAGGGTGACACAGACAGAAGGAGCTATGGGACACGGAGTCTGTTCCTCCCATTGCAGAGTGACACAGACAGAAGGAGCTATGGGACACAGAGTCTGTCCCTCCCAATGCAGGGTGACACAGACAGAAGGAGCTATGGGACACAGAGTCTGTCCCTCCCACTGCAGGGTGACACAGACAGAAGGGGCTATGGGACACGGAGTCTGTCCCTCCCACTGCAGGGTGACACAGACAGAAGGGGCTATGGGACACAGAGTCTGTCCCTCCCACTGCAGGGTGACACAGACAGAAGGAGCTATGGGACACGGAGTCTGTCCCTCCCACTGCAGGGTGACACAGACAGAAGGAGCTATGGGACACAGTATGTCCCTCCCACTACAGGGTGACACAGACAGTAGGGAGCTATGGGACACAGTCTGTCCCTCCCACTGCAGGGTGACACACAGAAGGAGCTATAAAATTCTTACTTTAGAGTATAACCCTATTAGTATCGTAATATAGTCTGGAGATAAACTGGAGGTAATCTGAGGTATTCAGGAGGATACAGTTGCAAGAAAAAGTATGTGAGCCCTTTGGAATGATATGGATTTCTGCACAAATTGGTCATAAAATGTGATCTGATCATCATCTAAGTCACAACAATAGACAATCACAGTCTGCTTAAACTAATAACACACAAAGAATGAAATGTTGCCATGTTTTTATTGAACACACCATGTAAACATTCACAGTGCAGGTGGAAAAAGTATGTGAACCCCTAGACTAATGACATCTCCAAGAGCTAATTGGAGTGAGATGTCAGCCAACTGGAGTCCAATCAATAAGATGAGATTGGAGGTGTTGGTTACAGCTTCCCTGCCCTTCCTGTTCATCAGTCCACGGTAAGACAAATGGAGAAAGTTCAGCACTGCTGCTACTCTCCCTAGGAGTGGCCGTCCTGTAAAGATGACTGCAAGAGCACAGCGCAGACTGCTCAATGAGGTGAAGAAGAATCCTAGAGTGTCAGCTAAAGACTTACAAAAGTCACTGGCAAATGCTAACATCCCTATTAGCTAATCTGGATTTCATGGGAGGATACCACCCAGGCACATTAGAGAAGGTATCTTGCTTCTCTCTTTGCAGCTGTTGTACCTCGATACGCTCCTGTGGGCTCAGCCTGTCTCCCACCATAACTTCTCCTAAATCCCCAGACAGCTGTCTGTCTCCCAGTAGATCTGCGTTGGCGCGTCTGAGCCGCCTGAAGGTTCTCCTTTACCATCCTAGTTAGTGCTTCTAGGCGGTCTCGGAGCGCCAACACATATGGTACAATGGGGGTACCGTCTGCGCTCCGGTCTCCCTCCCAATGTTCCCTAATTAGGTCCAGAGGCCCTCTTATTCTCCTCCCGAATAAGTTTGAATGGGGAAAATCCGGTGGATTCCTGCGGCACCTCCCTGTAAGCGAAGAGGAGGTGGGGCAGGAATCGCTCCCAGTCCTGGTGGGTCTCAGCAAAGGTTCAGAGCATTTTTTTTTTTTATGTACCATTGAACCGCTCGCAGAGCCCATTGGTCTGGGGATGTTAAGGGGCACTGATTATCGGCTTAACGTCGCAGAATTTCCAGAGGTGCTGTGAACTGAGTACCCTGATCCGAGATGATCTCCCTGGGTAACCCCATCCAGGAGAAAACCTGCATCAGGGCCTCAGCCACGGTTTCTGCGTGGATATTTGTCAAGGCCACCGCCTCTGGGTAGCGGGTGTCGTAATCTACCACCGTTAAAATGTACTTCTTGCCAGAAGGGCTAGGTTTCCGAAGGGGACCTATGATATCTATGGCTATTCTATGCAATGGTTTCTCAATTATCGGTAGCGGATGCAACTTTAACTTCCGCCGGTCCCCCCTCTTCCTTACCCTCTGGCACGTATCGCAGGTACTGCAATATTTACGTACTTCCTGGCTAACTCCTGGCCAAAAGAAACTCTTGGTCAGTCGGTATCGGGTACGACTGACCCCCAAATGCCCGGATAGCGGAATATCGTGAGCTATCCGGAGTAATTTGGCTCGGTACCTCTGTGGTACGACTAGCTGCCTGCTTGCACCGTTCCGTCTGTCGCATCCCTCTGCTCGGTGTCCGAATCATCCTCTGTTCGGTATTCTGCCATTACTTCAGAGATGAGTGTTGCCTTTGTTTTGTTGCTGGCTGGAATACCTCTTGCTTCCAGAAGATCTTTCAGTGTGGATCATTTTAATGTGGAGTACTCAATCTCCATTAATCCTTGTTCCTTTGTGAGTCTGGATCCCAGCGCTGCCAACCAACGTAGCGGAGAGCTGTTATTCCACAGGTTATCTCCACTTAAGATCCAAGTGAGGCTCAGGAACAAGTATTAAAAATCCATAAGGCAATAATTCCAGCAAGCAAGACAATCCAACAATATCCCAACATCAATTCCAATGACTGGACGACACACAGCATCAGGAGCAGAACTGAACTTTTAATCACACAACCTTCTTTTAAAGCATTCTCCCATGCAAGGAAGGGATTTACAGTAATTACAATACACCAATCATAAATGAGTTGCCATCCACACATCCCCTTAGTGTGACACATAATCCCCTTATGCAGGACCCAAATTCCCTGGGTTTCTGGATGTACCCCTAAACATAGGGGTACCCCTTTAAATATTACATCCCCTGGTAGCCCTGATCTGGGTGAGACACATATCCAAAAATCACCCAGATCGGACCAGGGGTTCAGGAAATTCCTGGAAGTACTAAAAAGACCGACCGCGCTGGGGTTAACAGCCGAAAAGGGTTCCATGTATTTTGGCCCTGCGGTCGTTCACAGAAAAGGGAATGAAACACACAAATGGATTGGGTTATGAGAGCTGGGGAGGATCTCGGGTAAATCCCCTTGTTCGTGGGGTTCTTTCTACCGAACGGGAAGCCGTTTGGTAGTTTTTACATTAAATGGCTGCAGTGTGGAGGTCTCAGCAGTGCGTGCCTAGCCGAGTGTCCGATTTGGGTTCCAGACACTCGACGGCAAAACACCGCTGTTCGGGAGTTTAAAATGGCCGCCGCCACGTGTTCCTCTCCCGAATGGCGGCCACCCAGAGAACAAAGAACCCACTGCACGAATTGCCAATTACCGGTAATTGGAGGCACACTTACTACTGGGGTGGTCTGACTGTTCGGTAGTTTCACTCTCATAATAACTGGAGTGATTCTACCGAACAATCAGACGAATGCTGCATACATTTCACATAAATATGTTACAATTCAACTGAACACATAGGAATAACTGTAATTTTTAGGACAGCCCAATGCCATCCGGTACAGTGGTGTTGTGGAGACAGGCTCAGGCACCGAGGGTAGTGGTGTTGCGGAGACAGGCTCAGGCACCGAGGGTAGTGGTGTTGTGGAGACAGGCTCAGGCACCGAGGGTAGTGGTGTTGTGGAGACAGGCTCAGGCACCGAGGGTGGTGGTGTTGTGGAGACAGGCTCAGGCACCGAGGGTGGTGGTGTTGTGGAGACAGGCTCAGGCACCGAGGGTAGTGGTGTTGTGGAGACAGGCTCAGGCACCGAGGGTGGTGGTGTTGTGGAGACAGGCTCAGGCACCGAGGGTGGTGGTGTTGTGGAGACAGGCTCAGGCACCGAGGGTAGTGGTGTTGTGGAGACAGGCTCAGGCACCGAGGGTAGTGGTGTTGTGGAGACAGGCTCAGGCACCGAGGGTAGTGGTGTTGTGGAGACAGGCTCAGGCACCGAGGGTAGTGGTGTTGTGGAGACAGGCTTGTAGACTATGGTGAGGCCTAATAGAAAGCAGTTGTTGGGAGATTCTATCATAACAGGTGTGGAGATGGACAATGGTGATCTTGTGAGAGGTTTTCCCGGAGCTACTGCTCACAGAGACAGGAGACGTATTTGTAATATTGTTAAGCGAGCAAAGCAGGAAGGGGAATTGGATGTACTTGTCCATCTAGGGTCAAATGGCTTGGCTTGCAATGAGGTTTCAGAGGTAAAGGAAGTTTTTAGTGTTTTTGCCAATGATATACGGCAGGTTGCTTCTTTGCATAACACTCAGAACGACAGGCGGATGGTGTGGCAGACCTCTCTGCCTTTGGATTATTATTTAAAACCTGATTCGTCTGTTTGTTCGGTTATTGACGGTTGTTCGTATGTTTTCTGCTTGCATTCATCCAAATACGAACAAACTACCGAATGGTAGTGCTGCTCATTAACCTTTGTGCTGCTCATTAACCTTTCTGCCAAATTGTGGTTAACCGCAGACACTTCCAACTCCCGAAAGGTCGGCTGGATGGTCGTTGTTCGTATGAACTAACACGTTGCGGCGGCCATCTTGGACAGTCGAACGCCCAGCGGTTTTCGTTGACAAACTCATGGAACTGATTTCACACACTGCTTCCCACGAAATCCCTAATCATCCATCACTCTGTTCCAAATATATACGAACGCAGTGCCGTTCGGTAAGTTGACAAAACACGAACGGAACTGCACCTGATAGTCGATCCATGGAGCTCATTCGTTTAGTCGAACACACAATGTACAAGACTTTAACTCCATGGCGATTGAACTACATGTATGGGATCTGAGCGCTGTTTGGTTATATTGAGCGCTCAGATCTAAGCTATGTGGGGGTTCCGTTCGTTATATTTAGAAATACGTGTTTTTATGTGTTTTTACCAGTACTGTAAAATGGGGGATATTCTCTATACCTAGAGATAATTGAGTTACTTCAAGCACTTAACCCAATTATCAACAAGATAGAGAGGAGGAGTTGTACTGTTCATGTGAGAGTGTTTACATACTGTAAATGCATGTGATTGGCTAATGTTAAAATTGTCTTATGCTGGAAGACCTGCATAAAAGGCTGACATGTAGCACTCATTAAACAGATCCTGCTTGACCCTCAATACAGAGCCTCTGTCTCTTACTTGGGGGGATAATTCATATGATTCCTGTTTGGCGCTTAGGAGTGCTCGGTAGCATACTTCGCATTTGGGAAAAAGAACAGCTTTGGTGGCGTTAACCCCTTCACCTACTCGGGGTGGTGTTACAGATGCGTATTAGGGACATTAATTTGTGGCTTGGTGCATGGTGTCGGGAGCAAGGATTTGGCCTTATTTCTCACGGTAGCTCTGTTTGGAATGGAAATAAGCTGTACAAAAAAGATGGTTTGCATCTTTCTCAAAAGGGAACAAATGTTCTCAGTGAGCAGTTCAGAGGTTTTGCTAGGATGTATTTAAACTAGGAGGGGGGGGCAAAAGGGTGATAAAACATCAATCCAATTGTCCCCCAAAACAAGGACAGAAGGTGCCTGTAGCAAGTGTGTTAAAAAATGATAAGCTTAGAGTCATGTCTACAAATGCTCGCAGTTTAGGGAATAAGATCCATGAACTTGTGGCAATAATGGCAACTGATAGTGTAGATTTAGTCGCTGTTACTGAGACATGGTACAATGAGAAAATGACTGGGACATAGCAATACCAGGGTACTCTTTATATAGGAAAGATAGGGAAGGCAAGAAAGGGGGAGGGGTGTCCCTGTATGTGAAGGATAGCATAAAATCTAGCCTAATAAAAGTTAGTGAGGCAAACATAGAGTCCGTTTGGGCTACGTTAGAATTTGGTAATCACACGGTAACTCGTGTAGGTGTGATTTATAGGCCCCCAGGACAAATTGAAGAGTTAGATAATCTACTAGTTGAGGAAATAAGATGTAAAAAGATACTATCCTTACCTTTTTATGTCATTTTACCCCACTCCCTCTAGCATGTAAGCTCATTGAGCAGGGCCCTCAACCCCTCTGTTCCTGTGTGTCCAACTTGTCTGGTTACAAATACGTGTCTGTTAGTCCACCCATTGTAAAGCGCTGCGGAATTTGACGGCGCTCTATAAATATCATAATAATAATAATAATAAAGGAGGTTAGCGCTAATAATAAAAAGTAGATGGGTAACCCTCTAACCCTCTATAATGGAAATGGAAGACAAAAACAGTAATGCAAGGCTGCGCCAAAATATATCAATGTGGACTACAGATATTATAAAACATATAAATGAGACATAAAAAGAGTGCAAACAGAATAGTTGGTATTGTATATAAAATAGTCCAAAAAGATTAGAAGTTGCACTGTGGCAATAAATGTCTTTTAAGGTGCTTTTGATGAAGGGGTCTCCTCTCTGTTTAAAGTAGTCAGACTGTTCTCGTTCCTTACACTCTGTACGATTGGTCTCTTATCTGCTGTCTTCCATATAACAATATATGTGATAAAAAGATAAATATATTCCACTCACATTTAAATGAGCTATAGCCAGCTCAGGTATAACAGGCGTACAGCGGAATAATCCCCGCTTATGGGATATATGGATGATTGTCCTCTGGATGGAATGATGTCCGGCTCTCAGCAGAGGGATATATAAAAACTGCTAATAGTGCTCACTGTTTGATCAGGTATAACCGTTGATAAAAAAAATGAAAATGTACTTACAAGCTTATCCGAGGTGGGGATCATACCACCAACGCTGTTATCATAGTGCAGTCGGCCTGCACTATACTTGTAAGTACGTGATAAAATCGATAAGATGCCAGGTACAATTAGAAAAGTGTGTAAAAAGATAGTTGGCGGGGGGGCGGAGCCTGGCAGCGCAATTGAATAGACGCCATTTTCATAGCTCCGAGCGCTGATCAGCCTAATCTCTAAAATATCACCGGCATCCGAGCCAAACCGCCTGCACAGAGGGCAGAGTTCGACGGAGCTAACCGCCCTGAATCTGCCGATGCCTTTTTTACACACCCCGGGCAAGAAATACCAGACCCGCGGCACCAAGGCCTACCGCGCCATCAAATACTCTCCGGCAGCATACGGAGGCCCACTAGACTGGGACGATGCCGACCTTCTACCTTGGCTAACAGGTAATATGGGGAGGAAAACCCCGAAACCGCCTGCTCCCATGCACAAGACACAGCAAAACATAAGTCAAATGCTGCAATACACGGCGCCAGCGACAATTTCACCGGCGCAGGAGGCCTCACCTACCCGGGAGCCTTCATTCGCACGAGACAGCGACGAGACCGCGCATCAAAGCCTGAAGCCGATACAAAGAGAACCACCCAGCCCAAAGGAGACAGAAGCTCCGGCTACAAAACGGGAGCTTGGAGAAATGCTCACCGGTCTCCAAAATAACCTTAGGGCAATGTGGGAGGCGGACCTGGCAGCTCTCACGACCGAAGTACAGGCCGTGAAAAGGCGCACACAGACAACTGAAAGGAATGTGACAGACCTGCAACAAGGCCTCAAAGAACTGAGCGATAAAGTACAAGGTATCCAGACTACACAAGTTGAAACAAACAAGCAGGTGCTCATCCTGGATGACAGGGGCAGAAGAAAGAACATAAAGGTGAGGGGAGTATCAGAAACTATACCCCTAGAAGAATTACCGCACTTCATTAGAAGGCTAGTGTCGGCACTACTATCAACAAGAGAGGCTAAATACCTCTCCTTTGATGGGGCATACCGAATATCCAAATCCCCAAGAGCCCCTGCAACCGCACTACGAGACATTATTCTCAGGTGTCAAACAATGTCCAACAAATTAAGCCTGCTAGCAGCGATAAAAGGGAAGACGCCATACGAATTTGAGAACTGTAAAATCTCGTTCTTCCAAGACCTAAGCAGGGCTACGCTACAGTGGCGGAAAACCATGCAGCCCCTCACGCAGATCTTGCAGAAAGCAGGCCTGACCTACAGATGGGCGACACCGCACACCCTATGGATCACTAAAGAAGGAAAGTTCTACAAAGCTACGGACCCAGCAGACATTCCCGCAATACTGGCAGCACTGGACTTACAACCACAACGGGGCCTCGAACACGCATCACCGGACACACAACCTCTACTGGACACTGACTCAGATACGTCCTCATCCGACATTAGAAGAGACAGGAGGCCGAAGACTTGAATTAATCAACATACCTGATTACCTCAAGTTATAGGGACATTCGAGAGACTTTCCTAGCTATGCAATGACTTTTTTTTTTTTTTTGTTCTGTTTCTGTTTATGCAAATCAACACACAATTTCTTAGCTGCGCACAGAGATTCAAGGGCACACACAGCGCCCACAGCACGCCCAGGGACTTTCTCCCCCCCCCTCCCTATCACACCCAACATGCCAGAGAGACACGATAAGGGGACAAGGGACCACACAAGGAAGAGGGCCACACACTAAAACTAGGGCCAAGAGCAACTATCACATAGGGCTGACAACACATAGGAACCAATGCGCCTCAGACCCACAAGCACCCAAGAGAAACAAACTCGCAAACCTCACTGGCATATATACTACGAGACGTCACACATAGCGGGAGTTTAACAACCCATACACTGACTAACTCGTTACAACCCAACAGACTACCACACTATTAAAAATGTGCAACATGATACCCAGCCAATGTCTTCATATGTGATATGTACACCTGTTCCAGACTAGATAGTAAAACTTATGTATCAAGACTTGAACGCAAAATGTATGTATGATACATGCTAACATGCACCAAAAATAAAGAATTATAAAAAAAAAAGATAGTTGGCACAAATAGTAACCAAAACAATCTTTAATTATATAAAATACACAATAATAAAACCATTTACACGTTTCGCCACTAGGGCTTTTTCAAAATGGTTAACCGTAGCTACTGGGTGGCCAATTAACGGCGCCTGCCAGCTAACCGCGACTCCTGGGAGGCCAATAGACGGCTGTTTGGGCAGAAATACATGAATAGACCTTTCTGCATAGGAAAATAAAGTATTTAAATGCCGGTCCATAGTCAAAAGGCAGCAGGCAGGCAACCAGGCTCCTCCAATGCACAGTGGCAAGATTGGTCTCATCACATTTTCCAAACAGACTAACAGGGTATCTGACCTCCTGCCGGTCAGTGCCCTGGTTAGTCCAGCAGCCCACCCACAAAACAGAAACAGCAGTACAGCCCACCCACAATAAATGGTTACTAAACCTGAGTAAGGGAGAAACTTGTCCATGTCCAGGTGCCTCACCACAGGGACTGGTAGGCTGCCTTGGTGGGTTGCAGAGTGGGCAGAGGCCAGCGGTACTCTGCCCTGGTGCCAGCGCTACCACGGAAGTAGCCTGGTTGGAGCCTGGTTGTGGGAGGGGGAGACCGACTGTCTCCCCTTTGGATACACAGCTCTGCTGCTGGAGGGGGAGACCAATTGTCTCCCCTTTGGCTAAACAGCCCTGTTGCTGGGGGACAGGACCGACTGTCCCTACCCCCTGTTCTGTAAGTGCAGAGACCACGGTCCCATCTGCACAGTTGTGGGGCTTACTGTCTCCCCCTGGTACGTTAAGCTGCCGCTAGGGAGAGGGGGTAACAAGCTCCTCTCCCATATATACTCCCAGCCGCTGGGGAGGGTGACCAACTGTCTCCGCTCCCAATACAGTGTCCTGCTGCTGAGGAAAGGAGACTGGGCTCTCTATTCCCTGCTGGACACTCTGCCACTGGGGAGGGAGGACAAGGCTCTCCTCTCCCAATAAAACACTCTGCTGCTGGGGGAAAGGACCGACTGTCTCTGCCCCCTGTAAGTCACACTGCCACTGGGAAATGGAGACTGGGCTCCCTATTCCCTGGAGTACCTGCCGCTGGAGTTCCTCCCAACGTGCCAGCTGACCTTCTCTTTCTGCCCGGTATTGCAGATTCTTGAACACTAGGTTCCTCATGGACTGCACGTATTTCTCAGCTAGATTGGGTCCGAAGAACTAAAGCCGCAATCCCATCATATTATCGAACTCTCTCCTAGAGTAGCTGTACTCCACTGCTGGTTCCATTCTGGTGCTGTCAGGGTCGCTGTACTGGGACATGCGTTGTCCTCAATTTGTAAATCCAGGGAATGGTGTCACCTGTAGCTGTCCTTCTGGCTGTAGGAACGATCCCGCCGCTTGCCACCAATTGTAACGGCACCCCCAGGCATAAAAGGGGTTAAACGCCGTTTAGGAGATAATCCCTTCAAGATATACAGGCAGCTACCAAAGACACCAATCTGTCGAACAGGAAACCATGTGAATGCCGTAAACAGCCGAATAGGAAAAACCATACGAAAGGTTTACACTCCTAGCAGTCGAACTGGAACAGCATACAATAAATCCCCCCAAGAACGAGACAAGGCTCCATGTTGAGGGTCAAGCAGGAACAGACAGAGCTGTGGGTTTATTGGCCTTATATACACATTCTTACAGATAAAGTCCCACCCACAGGATTTTGTGGAACATTCAATCAAAACATACAACACAGATAAACACTCCAACAATGACTTCACAATCCCTCCTCTCTATCCTGGAGATAATTGGGAAGTAATCCAATTATCTCCAAGGACAGAGGCAAAACTCCATTAAGCACATGGCAGTAAAATACAATAAAATACACAAGGTTACATTTATTACATAAAATACAGTCATGCAACATATCCCCAGATAGCTTAGGTCTGAGCGCACATTATTACTGAATGGCGCTCAGACCACACACATACAGTTCAATTGCCCTGGAGCCAAAGTCTATTGCACGAATAGGCTCCATTGCATAGCTATCTGGGTTTCAATGAGTGAATGAACCGGCCGCGTGTGAATTGCAGACTGCTGCCATCCAGTGTTCAGTATGTGTAGCCACGGCCACCCGGTATAGTCAATTAAGTTGCGGTTAACCGCAGCTACTGGGTGGCCAATTGGCAGTGCTTGCCGGCTTCTGGGCGGCCAATTAACGGCGCCTGCCAGCTAACCACGGCTCCTGGCAGGCCAATAGACGGCTGTGTGTTCGGTAGATAGAATCTACCGAACGCCCGGGCAGAAATACATGAATAGACCTTTTTGCATAGGAAAATAAAGTATCTAAATGCCGGTCCATAGTCAAAAGGCAGCAGGCAAGGAACCAGGCTCCTCCAATGCACAGTGGCGAGATTAGTCTTGTCACATGTGGCTAATGGAGTTTTGCCTCTGTCCTTGGACGTAATTGGATTACTTCCCAATTATCTCCAGGATAGAAGACTCTGTGGAACCGGTTTAGGGCAGAAAAGCCATGCTTCATTTGGTCACAAAGGACTTTGATCTAACTTTTGACCCACTGGACCAATTTGTATAATTTTGACGTATGTTTGTATACTGAAAATGTAAGTTTTATGTGAATGGGATGTATACTTTTCAAGTTATGAATATTGTGTAAAACTGTGTATTTTCCTGCCTGTGATAATTACATTAACCCATTGTATAAGGTAATTGTATCAGAGGGGAGGATTTTGTGTGGGAGTGTCTGTGTATTGTACGTGTTTATTGGTTGTTTTACAAAACCCTGTGGGTGGTACTAATGTGTAAGAATGTGTATATAAGAACAATAAACCCACAGCTCTGGCAGTTCTACTTCACCCTAAATTTGGAGTGCCGTTTCTTATTTGGGGAATCTCCTGCAAGGGTCATACTCCCTTGCTAAATCACTACTAAGCTCTTGTAAGAGCTTGTTCCTGCCTTGCTCTCTGGAGGAGTCTACGGTGGTTATGGTGTCTGCTGCAGTGCTTGGAGTCTTCAGGAAGCGCTAGGAGCATCCTTCAACGGAGGTAACCAGTCGGGATGCCTGTCGATCCATTACAGTAATGGCTTTCTTCTGGCCACTCTGCCATTAAGCCCAAGTGTATGGAGCGTGCGGCTTATTGTCGTCCTATGTACAGATACTCCAGTGTCTGCTGTGGAGCTCTGCTGCTCCTCCAGGGTTACCTTAGGTTTCTGTGCTGCCTCTCTGATTAAAGCACTCCTTGCCCCGTCCGTGAGTTTTGGTGGGCGGCCGTCTCTTGGCAGGTTTGCTGTTGTGCCATGTTCTTTCCATTTGGTTATGATAGATTTGATGGTGCTCCTGGGGATCATCAAAGATTTGGATATTTTTTTGTAACCTAACCCTGACTTGTACTTCTCAAGAACATTGTCCCTTACTTGGTCTTCATGGCAGTGTTTGGTTAGTGGTGCCACTTGCTTAGGTGTTGCAGCCTCTGGGGCCTTTCAAAAAAGGTGTGTATATGTAATAACAGATCATGTGACACTCAGATTGCACACAGGTGGACATCATTTCACTCATTATGTGACTTCTGAAGGTAATTGGTTGCACCAGAGCTTTTTATGGGCTTCATAACAAAGGGGGTGAATACATACGCACATGCCAATTTTCTGTTTTCTATTTCTAAAACATAGTTTTATGTATATATTTTTCTCATTTCACTTCACCAACTTAGACTATTGTGTTCTGATCCATCACATAAAATTCAGATTAATAAAACATTGAACTTAAGGCTGTAATGTCACAAAATAGGTAAAAAGTCAAGGGGTGAATACTTCTGCAAGGCACTGTATGTAGAAGAGGATAAAGGTCTATCCTTTATTTTATTTTATGTTAGGACAGGAATGGTGAACATCTAAAAACACATGGATTTCAAGATCAGAGACAACATGGGTTTACTTCAGGGAGATCATGCCAAACTAATCTTATTGATTTTTTGGATTGGGTAACTAAAATTATAGATCAGGGTGTTGCAGTAGACATTGCTTACCTAGATTTCAGTTAGGCTTTTGACACTGTTGCACATAGAAGGCTTATCAATAAACTGCAATCTTTAAGTTTGGATTCCAATATTGTTGAATGGGTAAGGCAGTGGCTGAGTGACAGGCAACAGAGGGTTGTAGTTAATGGAATATATTCGAAGCTTGGACTTGTCACCAGTGGGGTACCTCAGGGATCTGTACTTGGACCCATTCTCTTTAATATTTTTATTAGTGATATTGCAGAAGGTCTTGATGGTAAGGTATGTCTTTTTGCTGATGATACTAAGATATGTAACAGGGTTGATGTTCCAGGAGGGATAAGCCAAATGGCAAATGATTTAGGTAAACTAGAAAAATGGTCATAGTTGTGGCAGCTGACATTTAACGTGGATAAGTGCAAGATATTATCAATGACACATCGTATAAGACTGTCTTATCTCACATTATCAAAGTCACAGTGTGGGACTGTCTAATCTCATATTATCAATGACACATATTGGTGTTGAACATATCAAATAGCTGTGCTTGCATTACCATTGCTTTCCTGATGGTGGCAGTTCGATTCTTCAAAGGTGGCAAGATCTTGACAGATATGGCTCATCACAATGTGTTCTGTTTTCTTTCTCATTACCCAGATGCTTGGACAGTTTATCGCTCGGGCTGTTGCCGATCACGCTCTTCCACTTAACTTCCTCGACCGATACAAAGGACGGGTGGACTGTGATCATGCGAGGTAAATGGAGTTCAAATAATGCTGTTTCTATTTATCTCATCTTTAAACCAACCACTGCGAATATCTTCCTGTTACCTAATCTGTGAAATCCCCCAACCAGTATCTCCTCCTCTATATCCCCCCAACCAGTATCTCCCCATCCCCCAACCAGTATCTCCTCCTCTATATCCTCCTAACCAGTATCTCCCTATCCCCCAACCAGTATATCCTCCTCTATATCCCCCTAACCAGTATCTCCCTATCCCCCAACCAGTATATCCTCCTCTATATCCCCCTAATAAGTATCTCCTCATCTCCAACCAGTATCTCCTCCTCTATATCCCCCCAACCAGTATCTCCCCATCCCCCAACCAGTATCTTCTTCTCCTATATCCCCATTCTCTCTCTCTCTGTATCCCCATTCTCTCTCACTGTCTGTGTCTCTCTCTGTCCCCGTTCTCTCTCACTGTCCATCTCTCTGTCTCCTCATTCTGTCTTGCTCAGACCCTCTCCGTCTTTTAATATTTTCCTAGAGCTGCTGTTGACCGTGCTGCAGTGTTACTAAGAATCAAACGTGAAATTATCCGACTGGACAATGTCTGGGGAGTTGGAGGTGGTCAGCGACCGGTCAAACATCTAATTAAAGAGGTATCTGTATCATTAAACACATTGATACTTTGTACCATTGAAGGATTTCCAGCTGTGTACTGCACTAACAGCCCAGGGCAATGCGTCTAAGAAACCTTGTCCAATCACATTATTCTGTTTGCAGGGTTAATTGATCAACTGGAGAATGTGTCTGCCATTACTGTACAAATAATGCCGAACCCCAAGCTTTAGTAATCACCAGGTAATGAGGAGCTTTTAATCTAAAAACACTTACAAAATTAATTAATATTCACGTGAACTATCTGTGTCAATCAAAGCTTTTCAAATCTCATATTTTACCATGGTAAAACACTGCAGAAATCAACACTTTAAATCCTAGTGCAACAGTACTACAATCCCCTCCTTTATTTTAATCCATTTCTGATCACTTCAGTATCTGTTCAATTCCGACTAGGTCCATTCTGACTTTTTCTTGATTCTGTTCCATTCCAACGTCTGCTCGTTTCCGTTTCTCCCCGACATCTGCTCGTTTCCGTTTCTCCCCGACATCTGCTAGTTCCCGGTTCCCTCCCGACTTCTGCTCGATTCCGGTTCCCCTCCGACTTCTGCTGATTCAGGTTACCCGACTCTTTCGATTCAGGTTCCCCGACTTCTGCTTGATTCGGTTCCCCCCCTCCTCCCCGACTTCTGCCGAATCAGGTTCCCCGGCGTCTTCGTTTCGGTTCCCCGACTTCTGCTCGATTCGGTCTCCCCCCCAACCTGTCACATATCTGTCTGTCTTCCATCCCCACCGTCACATATCTTCCCCCCCAACCCAGGTACCATACCTCCAATCGTCTCTACCAGAGTAATCAGATAACAAGTCCCATAAAGTAAATCCATCCTTGCAGCCCCCTCAACAAAGTTCCACATAGTTTGTAAGGGCACATGGAGCTCTCATAGCCAATCAGTCTGTGGAAGTCTGGTTGTGTAGGCCAGACTGGGATTCCCGTCCACCCTGTGCCCCTAATAAGCACAGGGTGACTTAGACATAAGAGTGGACTTGGAAGTGGAGAAAGGGGGTTCCCAGTAAATCTGCCATGGCCCCGCTCCCAAACTCAAACCGATCGCCATATGACTTCACTCTTAGGGGGCCACCATGACTTCCACACACCCCATCAGCAAATCTGGAACCCAGCCCAGGATAGTCCCCATCACATTTCTCTCCCTTCAGAAGGAGACCAATACAGGAGGAGACCTGAGACGGGTTGACTTGCACTTTTTTTTTTAAAGGCACAGCGCACGTCTTATATATTTCAACGGTTTGTATTTTTAAGGGTAAGAATGCTGCTATATATATGGTTTTTTTTAATTTGAATTTTAAAAGCGCCATTTTTGCATTTGTTTTATACTATCTGACTTGGTTAGTCCGTACATCCAACCCACCAACGCCATCATCAAATCTGTACCCCAAAGAAAATGCCCATGAAAGAGCAACACTCACCCAGCAGACCTCTGCCTCTCCCAAAGAAAGTGTCACCTGCCCCTTTTCCCTAGAGTCCTCTCAGTGGCTGAAAAGAAGGCAGGGTAGCTGGGGCCCCTCTGTCACATGGATCAGGATCTGGGCCTACTCTAATGCATCCCTGTGATCTAGGTGTGGAGATCACGGTCCCATCCACACCTCCCGGGCCAACATTCTCGGGAACTGCTGCTGTACAGAGTCAAATAATCGCTTGTACTCCAGTTCAAGCTCCCACTCCATTGTGGCCAGGTGGGTCAAATTGTGTTCCAGATCAGTTGCTTCTGAGAGATCCAGTAGGTGTTCCCTATTTTCCCGAATGTCATTGGAAGTCCTTAGAAGTTCTGTCTCAAATTCAACTTTATCCTCAAGGGCCTCCCACAATAGGCCAGGGCCATCATATCCCTAACCTTCTGGAGGGTCGTCATCTGCTAGAAATGGGTACTGCAGTACTGCATACCACCTTAAAACCCGGTACGAATCATCCAGCCACAATTCTTTCTGGGCCAGCTCCTCTAATTTAAACTTACTTTCCACCAGGGGCTGCTCTCACAAGAATTGCATCCTCAAATAGAAACCTAGAATGTGACGGCAGATAAGAACCATTAGGCCCATCTAGTCTGCCCAATTTTCTAAATACTTTCATTAGTCCCTGGCCTTATCTTATAGTTAGGATAGCCTTATGCCTATCCCACGCATGCTTAAACTCCTTTACTGTGTTAACCTCTACCACTTCAGCTGGAAGGCTATTCCATGCATCCACTACCCTCTCAGTAAAGTAATACTTCCTGATATTATTTTTAAACCTTTGTCCCTCTAATTTAATACAAATAGAATAGGGGATGATCTGCTAAATACAGATAAAATAAAGAAACATAGCGTTTAACTGTGTGGGGACTAGTGACAGTGTGCAGTTACAATTGGTCACTCACAAATTGTTTGATGTAAAGAAGCCTTGGATAGTATCCTTTTTCTTCAATATCCACTGTGTTGTCCCTCCTCACATGTCATAAGTAGATAGGCATATATAGCTCAAAAGAGAAAAATATACAAAATGTAGTGCACTTCCAGAGTATATTAAAAAGTAATTTAATGACTTACATTAAAGTATAAAACAAACAGCATGTCACCATGAAAACGTCCTACGCGTTTCGTCCTTCAATAGGACTTCCTCAGGGACTTGGTGAAATAAAATACAGTAATAGTAGTAGCAGCAATCAAAAATATCCCTCCCACAGTCCTTTTATACATCCCCCATTGATTATTCAGAGATTTTCGGCCGGTGTTCAATTTCCGTTTCGGCGGCAACAAGCCGGATGACGTCATCACGTGCGCTGTATGCGTTCCACGAACCCGGAAGTGGATCGCGATCAATTATCTTTCTCTCTTCCTCTAGTACATTTGCTCCAAAAAGTGTGTGGGCAGATGGGCAAAACGAAAGGGGGGGGGGGGAATAGCTATTAAGATAAATCTCTGGATGGCACTACATACATAAAATGATTATGCTAATTGTTACACTCTATGATTACAGATGCATGTATATATACATTCTTCAATTCTGCAAAAAAGACCATCCATATTTTTGGAAAATCTTAAATTGCAGATTTTATATAAAGTGCATTTTGATAGTGAGTGTATATACACATATCTACATCCTCACAGTTCACACAAATTATATATAAAAAAATTGGCATAAAGTGCATAAATAGTTTTATAGATTTACATCATGTAAAATTATATTACAATGATCACTCTATGATAACAAAATAGTGAAACCCACTTACATTGCACTTTTACCTCTATCTCCATAAAGAATTTTCCTTTATATATTTTTATCTTTAGAACAGAATTTGTGTGTGTATATACAAAACATTTTTAATAAAAAAGAATTTAATAAAAAATATAATAAAATTTTTTTAAATAAATTTAATTTTAATAAAAATTAAACATCTAAATCTAAGAATAAAAATAAAATTAAAATAAAAATAATTAAAATTTAAAATAAAAATAAATGTGAAAATAAAAATTGGAATAAAAATGAAAATAAAATAAAAAAAATAAAATAAAAATAAATATAAATAAATAAAAATAAAGTAAAATGAAAATAATGAAAATGAAAATAATAATAAAAATGAAAATAAAATGAAATAAAAATAAGAATCCTTCATTTCCGAATGAGGGAAAAGTGCGATGTTCCCCAAACACTCCACAAACGAAAAAACAGAGTTGAAGTTATTTATTTAGTCTTCAAAAAAGCTCCACAAATCAATATCCAAATTTAAACCGAAGGGTTGGAGTGTCTTTCGCTTATCTATCCAGAAGGTTTCTCTTTGAGAGAGCCTCTTGGCTAAATCCCCTCCTCTCCAATACGGGTCCACATGCTCAATGCCCAAAAAAGTAAAGCTTCGCCAATCAAATTTATTACAAGTATTGCAATGTAGTGGTATTATGTGTTTGACTGAATTTTTTCTGATATTATTTTGATGTTCTAATATTCTTTCTTTTAACTTCCTACATGTTCTCCCCACGTATTGTTTCCCACATGGGCATTGAAGCATGTATACCACATTCCTCGTATTGCAATTTATGTTGGATTTTATTTTGAATCTTTCTTTTGTAGTGAAGCTCATGAATTCTTTCTTTTGTATAAACTTTTGATTTTTGCAGGCTTTGCAAGAGTTGCAAGGATTAAAACCACTAATATTGGAGGTCCTACCTTTTACGTGGAATTTTTAATGCATAACTAGGTGCTAGTAAATTTTTTAAATTTTTTTGTTCTCCTAAAAATAACTGGTGTTTTTTCCGGTAACACTTTACCTAAAATGGGATCCTGACGTAGGATGTTCCAGTGTTTATTAAGAATCTTTTTTATTTTCCAATGTTGTGTGTTATATTGGGTGATAAAAGAAAAATTATAATTATTCTTAAAAGATCTTTTGGGATTAGACACTATCAGATCTCTTCTGTTCTTTTTTCCTATTTCTTTAATTTCTTTGTCTAGCAATATTGGTTCATATTTCTTTGCCACAAATTTATTTTTTAGATGTTTAGCTTGTTCCCTATAATCTGAGTTCTTTGTGCAGTTTCTTCTAACCCATATTAGCTGTGTTAAGACATTCACCGCCAGGTAGATGAAGCCGCCGTTTAGTGAATAATCCCCTTTCTCCAGAAATGCAGTTTATATCCAGCTGACCCCCAAACTCCCGAACGAAGTTCACGAACACGGCAACTCCCGATCAGCAAAACAGTCGAACGCCTTCCACAGCTAAAAATAACGAAAGCGCTGTCCCAGTAGTAATTCCCCCACAAACGAGACCAAGCTCCGTCTTGAGGGTCAAATAAGGTTCTGTTTAATGGGGGCTACCTGCCCGGTATTTATGCAGGTCTCCACAAGGTGGACACTCCCCGAGTGTAAAACATATTGTACAGTAGCCAATCGCAGTGGCTTCAATATAAGCCCTTCCCATCTTACCCATAAATCCGTCTTCTCTACCTCGGAGATAATTGGGAAGAAACCTAATTATCTCCTAGGATAGAGACCATCGCCATTTTAAAATACAGTAATAAAAATACATTAAAATACATAACTTAGAAAATACCGAATGAATATAGTTCGTATAACGTATCCCCAGACAGCCTGGATCTGAGTGCATATTTCCACCGAATATCGCTCAGATCCGATGTATCTAGTCGAATCGCCATGGAGTCAAAGTCTTTCACCAGTCCTTCGGTATACGAATGACTCCATGGGACGGCTATCTGGGTAAAGGTCCATACGAATGCATAAAACTCCCGAACAGACCGGCGTTCGTATGCCTCGCCGAAATAGAAGGGGGGGCATCAGCTTCCAGCGGTGTTCGGTATATTAAAGTGTCCGTTTTTAGTTCCATAGAATTTGTACTGAACACCGCTACGCTTTCTCGTGTCCCAAAAAGGCCGCTGCCTCGTGGTCGACATGCGAACGACGACCACCCGTACGAATGGAATGGAGAGGTGTCTGCGGTTAACCACAACGTTCAAATTGGGGCCAAGAGGTTAACCAGCAGCACACTCCTCTCCTGGGTGGTCGTTCGTTCGGTAGTTTCAATCGGCATTTTGTAATTTCATGAACAGGGGCATACGAACAGGGAATCCAGCGAAATAAAGGGGAAACAGATGAACCAGCAATATAGGTGAATCTGTCACAAGCTGACTTTTTAGTATGGTTTCCAACCATTTATCTTTATGGCAACTTCTCCTGTGTATATAGCTATTGTCCTCTGTTTTTTTTTAAATAACATTTTGATTGAATCTGATTATTTTCTATAAAGAGATTTAGATCCAGAAAATTAATAGTGGTAGTATTTATTTCATGTGTGAATTTTAGATTGTAATCATTTTGATGAATGTAGTTAATAAATAACAGTAATTCTTCTTGTGAGCCTTGCCAGATCATTATTATGTCGTTGATAAAACGTTTCCATAGGACCAGTTTCGCTGCCCAGCCATGCCCACTCCATATGTGGTTGGATTCCCAATCCCGCATATATATGTTTGCATAGCTGGGGGCGAACCTGGTCCCCATGGCTGTACCAGTGGTTTGGAGGTAAAATGAATCATCAAAGAAAAAATAATTATGCTTAAGGATGTAATGAATACTATTCAAAATAAAGTTGCGAAAATTTAGTGAGACATTTTCATCTTTCTCCATAATCCGTTCCACTGCTACTAAGCCCTTCTTGTGCTTTATTATTGTATACAATGAGGTAACGTCTAGGATTACCCAAACATAGTTGGGTTCCCAGGCTATATTCTCCATAGTTCTCGAAACATGGGCAGTGTCTTTTAGATAAGCGGGTGCTTCCTGTGCATATATTTGAAGATGGTGGTCCACAAATTCGGACAAAGATGAAAATGTCTCATTAAATTTTCGCAACTTTATTTTGAATAGTATTCATTACATCCTTAAGCATAATTATTTAAAATTTAATG